AGGCTTGCACCTGGCACGGGCACCGTAGCCAGCCCATGCCCCTTTAAGGGGTCCGGGGCCAGGAGGGGGGCAGACGAGTTTCCCTGGTGTTGGCCAGAGTGGCCACCAGGGAAAGCTGGGGAGGGCTAGCCTCCCACTAGTTCGAATTAAGGGGCTACACACCCCTTAATTCGAACTAGTAAGTTCGAACTAGGCTTAGTCCTCGTACAATGAGGTTTACCTAGTTCGAACTAAGCGCTCCGCTAGTTCGAATTAAGTTCCAACTAGCGGAGCACTAGTGTAGCGCCTATCAAAGTTAATTCGGACTAACCTCTGTTAGTTCGAATTAACTTTGTAGTGTAGACGTACCCTTTGAGAGGAATTTGTGAATGCAATGGAAGGATCAGTGGGAAAGATAGCACAATGGCAACTAGAAATAAGACAATAAATAATATATTCATAAACATTTTTAGATGATTAGTTCTCATTAAAATAAAGGATAGCTGCAAAACCATTGGAGCCTCAGAATATTTGCAAGAGATTCAGGCTTTCTGATATTTATCCTAAATGAAGTATGTCAAAGGCGTTAAAATACTTTGTTCTGCATCTTGTTGTCAGATGTTTAAAATCAAATCTTTGAACACATAAATAATTAAAATGCACTTAATCTTAATTTAATATGTAGCACAATACGTAAAGAGCTAGATAGATTCATGGAGTTTAGGTCCATCAGTGGCTATTATCCAGGATGGGTAGGAATGGTATCCCTAGCCTCTGTTTCTCTGGAAGTGGGTGACAGGAGAGGGATCACGTGAGGATTACCTATTGTGATCCCTCCCTCTGGGGCATCTGGTATTGGCCACTGTCGGCAGACAGGATACTGGGCTAGATGGACCTTTGGTCTGAGGCAGTATGGCCGTTCTTATTTTCTTAGTATGTGTATGTATTTGGAAAGTAATTTATAGTCAGAAGACAGTAATATTGAATGTAACAGTTGTTAAAGATTGCTATTTATGTTAAGTTTCAGCTCTTTGTTGGCAGCAAGAAAGTGATTAGAGTTGGCATAATGAGAATAATTTTATCATCATATTTAGGCATACGTTCAGTGTAATGAGGATAATCTTGAGAGGGACGTTCAGACAGATGAAATAGAGACACTAGAAAAATGGACACAACATCCAGGAGACAGTGTCCTTGTATCTGGAGGTGAGTAACCCTTTGCTTTTGTTTATTTAGGGCCTTAAATACCTAAACTTCATCTCCTCCTTTTTCACTGCTGTTGTTGGAGCTTGAGTTTGTTTGTTTTGTTTGTTTGTCTTTCCCTGATTCTGATGGAAACAGAAGTGGCCTCCTGCAGCTTCTCTATATTCAGCATCATTGCTGCTGAAGAGAAGTTGCCTGCTGTCATCACTTCTCTTCCTCAAATATTGCATAGATCACAGAACTTCTTTTGAGATTTGATTTTGTTTGTAATCTCATGTCTTTCTACAGGTCCCAGAAGAAGCAATGATGTGTCTATAGATGTTGCTGTAACACCTAGGATTGATTCACAGAGATTAACAAACTTTCTCCGGTCTGCTTGTCAGGTACGTTTCTGCACGAGTTAATGTATATAAAAAATGCCTGTCCTTTATAATACTTGAATAGTATTCATTACAGGTGAAATTCATCCTGTGCAGAGGGAGAGCCTGTGTAAAGTAAGTCCCTCTTAAATCATATTTTTCAAAGCTGTGAAGTTAGCAAGAGAGTTGATCAAAAGCTATTAAACTCATCAAAAGAGTTTTGAAAGTTGCAGATAGCAAAGTTGAAATATAATAGTCTTTTTATTTCTATAAATGTGATTAATTATATTTGAAAGGTGATTGCTGTTTTGCTTGAAGAAGATCGAGGTGCAACACAACCCAGGTGGAATCTGAGATCTCGACAAACTAGTCTGTCTATTAGTGATAGCTGCTTCCAGCTAAATACTAATCTACTTTTCCTCCACGGTAAGAGAACTTTATTGCACACCTTTTAGTGGACAAATTGAACTCTTCTGTACATTAAGTTCCAGCTCTTGTGCTTGATTGACCTGTAGAGAACACCTCAAGATATAAAGGTGGAGTAAAGCTGACTTTTGCATTCCTCTGATCCTGCTGTAATTCTGTCTAGAGCAGTTCCTCATATGCTAGTTCAGAGGATGCCAGCTACAAATGGCCAGAAGAGGCCAAAAATGCAGTCAGGAGTCAGTATATCATAGGTATGAGTGAAGGAAAAACCTTTCATATTGCATTTTCTAACAAGAGATGTGCCAGAAGAATTAATCTGTTGCCCATTTCTACATCTTGTACTCTCTCCTCTGCTGCCCATTCCCTGGTTGAGATATTAGTGTCCCTTCTAGTATGTACCATAGTCATATCACATTTGCTAATGAGATTGCCAGGGCTTGGCTGTGGTCTGATGTCATTTGTTGAGTGTACATATACCTAGGAGTGCTCCTCTTCAGGATGAGGCACTAATGTGACATCCAACACTCTGGTCATCTGAAGAAGTGGGCTATGCCCATAAAAGCTCACGATACCATCTACATGTTTTGTAAGTCTATAAAGTGCTACCAGACTATATGTTGTTTTTTCAGTTTACCCAAGATGATAGTTTTTCAGATTTTTTGCCTCTGTTTTCTCTCCATTCCTGTTCACTTTTCTTGTTTAAAGCCAGTTTTGGGACAGGATAGAATAATTTTCTCTTTCTGTGCCTTCTTCTTTACTGCTCTGGCAGCAAATACACTTTGCCAATAATACTGAAATTGTCTTTCAAATTACTCAATAAATTCTCAGGTTGTGGCTGTGGCAACTAATTAGTCACTCTCTTATTCAACCAGTTTTTCTTTTTTCTTTTAAAATAGGCCGAAAAGTGTTCTGCTTACATGTATCTCAGGTTCAGAGGCAAGCCTTGCTTTCTGTTCACGGATTACCTGAAAAGCCAAGTGTTATTCAACTGGACAGGAAATACATCATATGTGTATGGAATGTCTGGCAGCCTTCCAGTCCTCAGAAAGTTTTAGTCTGTGAAGCAGAGGTACAATTCCTAGTCATTACACATTGCCTATTGAATGAATGACTCTTGGATGCATGTTTATGCTGCTCTGTCCTAGTACTGTGTATCAAATTTCTTTATAAATGCTGTACAGTTGAATCCAATGAGTGAGACAATACTCCACTTCACTCTACAATTTGATATTGGAGAGCTGAGAGGGTCTACGTTTACCCTCACTCCATTTTACAGGGTTTTCTTCTTCTTCAAGGTATATTCCTGTGAGTGCTCCACTGTAGGTGTTCTAACCACTCCTGCACTTATAATCGGAACTTTTAGCAACAGTATTCCCATCATCAATTGTCCCCTCTGTTCCTTCTCAACCACTCTCAGATTGGTCAGAACACAGCAGCGCTCCATACATAGGCGTGCGCACGGGGTGTGCCAGGTGTGCACAGGCACACCCTAATGTTTCAAAGGGCTGCCCGCTTTGGCACTCTGGGGAACGGGCGCCCCGCCGGGTTTGCTGTGCATGCACGGCTGAGCAGTCAAAACCGGCGGTTCTTAGGACCCCGAGGAAAGAGGCGGCAGGGACGCAGCAACATCACCCTGCTGCCCCATCAAGCGCAGTGAGTTCAAACCCCGGGCAGGGGGGCAGGAAAGGTGGGG